AAGTCTAAAATCCATTTGCAGGGTCCCACATTGGGTCAGTCTCTGGTGAATCTCCCGAGGGTAGACCAGGGATGGGAATAGCCTCGCCAATTGCACAAAGAACATTGTAAAGTTGAATATGGCAGGTGTAGTTAGTTGCTAGGTTAAAATGTTAGCACCTTATCATTTGATCTCCCTTTCGATTCATTTCAAAGTTGCATCAGTTTTTAATATTTTCTGCTTTATTTTAGATTGCGGTTTTTCTCAAGTTTGTTTCCTCATTGTTGTTTGTTTTTTAGTTGTGTTTTATGGATTTTCTGAGTAACGATTCCAGAATAGGTAAATCTACAGAGACAGTAGCTGGGTCTTAATTCCCTAGGGGCATGCCAAGGAGCATTGAGGGAATTGGGGCACCAACAACAAGGAGTTCGACAAGAAAATGTTCTGAAAATCATTTTGGTGATTCTTAATATGACTGAATAATTAAATTGTATGTGACTCACTGCCATTGAGTCGATGCCAACTCCTAGCAACCCTATAGGGCAGGGTAGAACAGACCATGGGGGTTTACTGGAGAAGAAATCCCATATTTCTCCCTTGGCGTGGCTGGTGTTGGTAATAACCACGGTGCCACTAGGGCTACAATATGTGAATTATATGCCCATAAAATTCTTTTTTAAATAATGACATACGTTTTCAAGCAACAAAAATATAGAATAATCTCTAATGTACATAGCTAAGTGAAAGACGTCAGTCTTCGTAGATATTGTTTTATTTCCACACTGTTACATGCCGGAAGTGGCAAAACCAGGAAGCAAGGGCAGGAAGAAAAAGACGCATGGCTGTCTAGAGGTTTCTTTCTTTTGAGGGGGCAGGGTGGGGAAGGGAGATGATAATGAATAGGTGGCATACTAGATATTTTTTTATGACAGTGAACGAATCCTGTAAAATGGTGTAAATATAACAGAAAGCCTTTTTCAAAGTCCAAAGGACTGTATAACAAAGAGAGAAGCCTTACTATGGAGTTCAGTTTGTAAAAAAGTATCAATATTGGTTCA